GCTAACGGGCAATATTTGGCCCAAGGCTTCCAGCTGCTGACTTGCTTTGGGGAGTGGACATGGAGGTTGGGTGAAAGAGTTGCGTTAGCGAGGCTAAATTTCCAATCCTACCCTCCATCTTCAAGCACAACACAACCACATAAGTATACACCCCCCCCCCAAAGCTGGCTCGAGCGAACTGGTTTTGCTGGTAGGTAACGCTGCCACCTTGGTGCCCAATTCCACCTGGAAAGGCTTCCTCACCAATGTCTCCATTACAGGTTGCAATTCATTGTTGCCTTAACAAAAAAGCTAATAAAAAAGCTAATAAAATGAACAACGAACCTCGATCTGCAGCCTCTCAAAAGCAAATTTATTTATGAAATTGATTTGCTGCCCGGCTCTTATCCAACACCAACACCAAATGTACAGGTATATTATAGGGGGTACCTTGCTCAATAGTAGCAACTGTGAGAGGGACCTCGGAGTCCTAGTGGACAATCCCTTAAATAGGAGCCAGCCGTGTGCTGCAGCTGCCAAAAAGGCCAACACAGTGCTGGGCTGCATCAACAGAGGGATAGAATCAAGATCACGTGAAGTGTTAGTACGACTTTACAAGGCCTTGGTAAGGCCACGCTTGGATACTGCATCCAGTTTTGGTCACCATGATGTAAAAAAGATGTTGAGACTCTAGAAAGAGGGCAGAGAAGAGCAACAAAGATGATCAGGGGACTGGAGGCTAAAACATACAAGGAACGGTTGCTGGAATTGGGGATGTCTAGTAGTTTAATGAAGAGAAGGACGAGGGGTGACATGACAGCAGTGTTCCAATATCTCAGGGGCTGCCCCAAAGAAGAGGGAGTCAAGCTATTCTCCAAAGCGCCTGAAGGCAGGACAAGAAGCAGCGGATGGAACTAAGGAGAAACTTCCTGACACTTAGAACAATTAACCAGTGGAACAACCTGCTTCCAGAAGCTGTGAATGCTCCAACACTGGAAGTTTTTAAGGAGAGACTGGACAGCCATTTGTCTGAAATGGTATAGGGTTTCCTGCCTGAGCAGAGGGTTGGTCTAGATGACCACTAAGGTTCCCTCCAACTTTATTATTATTATTATTACCTCTGGACGGCTTATAGCATTAAAGGATTAAAAAAAAACATTAAAATCTTACATCATAGAAACCCAGCAGATAAAAATCATGAAATAAAACCAGTACAGGTAAGCCTTGTGACTTACAAGAGTTCATTTAGTGACCGAGGCTACAACGAAGGGACTTTTCACACTTAACAACCGTTGCAGCTTCCCAGTGGTCACCTGATCAAAATGCAGACACTTGACTCGTAGTTACAACGGTCGCACTGCCCCGGGGTCACGTGATCCCCTTTTGCCACCTTCGGACGAGCAAAGTCCATGTTACCGGCTTAAGAACTGCAGTGATTCATTTAACAACTGTGGCAAGAAAAGTCGTAAAACGGGGCAAAACTCGCTGAACAACTTGTCTCGTTTAGCAACTGAAATCAGTTGTCGTAAGTCGAGGATTACCCGTAATCCCAGATGGCAAAGGTGGGAACTGGACAGATTGGGGGGGCGGGTGTCAGGAGGTGGGATTAAAGTTTAATTAGTCAACCCCCTCCAACATGAAGCTGTCTCATTGGGTCTCCCGAATTCGCCATCGTTCTTGCCAGAATCCTTTGGATGCAAAAGCAGCTAATTCCCGTTTCCTAGCAACCGTTTGCAGCATCCTTGGGGAAGATCTCTCATTTCTGCTAATTGCTTGCCCACCGTTAAGGAGTTCTCTCCTGTTTCCTAGTGGAGTGACGCGCGCGGAGTGCACGGGCAGCCCTCAACAATCACAGCTGAGCCCAGAATTTACCGCTGGTTGCTAAGGGAGACGTTGGTTACCTGAGTATTATGGTTTTTCTAGCCCCCGTTTATTTATTTATTTATTTATTATTTGAATTTATATCCCGCCCTTCTCCTTGCGGACTCAGGGCGGCTGACAATCAATTAAAAACACCACTAACAATCACAAGTTAAAATTAATTAAAATGAAATATTTAAATTGT